GAATCTCGGATCCAGGAGGAGCAGTGTGGTTTTCGTCCCGGTCGCGGAACACTGGACCAGCTCTATACTCTCCATCGGATACTCGAGGGTTCATGGGAGTTCGCCCAACCTGTCCACATGTGCTTTGTGGATTTGGAGAAGGCGTTCGACTGTGTTCCCCGGGGTGTCCTTTGGGGGGTTCTCCGGGAGTACGGGGTCGGGGGTCCTCTGCTGAGGGCCATCCGATCCCTGTATGACCGGAGCCAGAGCTGTGTTCGCATTGCCGGCAGTAAGTCAGACCTGTTCCCGGTGAATGTTGGCCTCCGACAGGGCTGCCCTTTGTCACCGGTTCTGTTCACTGTATTTATGGACAGAATATCTAGGCGCAGCCAGGGGTCGGAGGGGGTCCGGTTCGGAGACCACAGGATTTCATCTCTGCTGTTTGCGGACGATGTTGTCCTGTTGGCTCCAACGAACCAGGACCTGCAGCATGCACTGGGACGGTTTGCAGCCGAGTGTGAAGCGGCTGGGATGAGAATCAGCACCTCCAAATCCGAGGCCATGGTGCTCGACCGGAAAAAGGTGCCTTGCCCTCTGCAGGTGGGTGGAGAGGTCCTTCCTCAAGTGGAGGAGTTCAAGTATCTCGGGGTCTTGTTCACGAGTGAGGGAAGAATGGAGCGTGAGATTGACAGGCGGATCGGTGCAGCGTGCGCAGTGATGCGGTCGCTGTATCGGACCGTTGTGGTGAAGAGGGAGCTGAGCCGAAAGGCAAAGCTCTCGATTTACCGGTCAATCTTCGTTCCCTCCCTCACCTATGGTCATGAGCTTTGGGTAATGACCGAAAGAACGAGATCGCGGATACAAGCGGTCGAAATGAGCTTCCTCCGCAGAGTGGCTGGGCGCTCCCTTAGAGATAGGGTGAGGAGCTCAGTCACACGGGAGGAGCTCGGAGTAGAGCCGCTGCTTCTCCACGTCGAGAGGAACCAGTTGAGGTGGCTCGGGCATCTGTTCCGGATGCCTCCTGGACGCCTCCCTGGGGAGGTGTTCCGGGCACGTCCCACCGGGAGGAGGCCCCGCGGAAGACCTAGGACACGCTGGAGGGACTATGTCTCTCAGCTGGCCTGGGAACGCCTTGGGGTCCCCCCGGACGAGCTGGAGGAAGTGTGTGTGGATAGGGAAGTCTGGGCGTCTCTGCTTAGACTGCTGCCCCCGCGACCCGGCAACGGATAAAGCGGAAGAAAATGGATGGATGGATGGATGGATCTAGTACGTGAAAAGTATGAAACATTAGCCCCAGCTCTTATTTATTTGTACCAGTAATTTAATCCTGCACAGACTATATTTTTAAATCTTTAACCATAATAGCCCTCACTATCTGTTCTTTAGCACAATCGGAGTGATGACATTTTCTCCCTCAAGAGAATAATAAAAGTCTATCTTATCATTATTCTGTTAATTACATCTTGTTAAATAGGAAGGATCTTTTATGGGGTAAGGCGTTATATCTGTCAATAAAGACGTGCATGTCTAAAAAAAAATAATGCGTGCATATTTATTGGTATTTTGTGCAAAAAAATATTTTTTTAATTCTTGATTAAGATAATACAAACTAAAAAATCCATGGAATTTCGTAATTAAGAATAAAAAAATATAAAACTGTATGTAGTTGATTTGGTTTTTTGTGAATGCGATATTTTTTGTGTGCTTGCATTTTTCTTTTTGAGAAACGAATTTCAGCAGTGAGCAAAACTGTCAATATGGACGTTCACTTGCTCACAGACATTTAACAATCGAGCCTGCGCCAGAGTGGATCATGGCAGAGGGCAACAACATTAAACAATTTGGTCTAAATATTCAGGTAAACTAAAATTCTATTTGATCATTTTGGTCGTAAATAACTGTGTAAGAAATATTAATTCCATAAAATGTGTTCATAAGATGTTTCTGGTCCCTCTAGAAACGTTTTTTTTTTTAGGCAGTGTTTTAGTTATCACTAGCTTCAATGGCTAGTTTTTACAGCTTACAATGGTCTTTAAAACCAACATTTATCCATTCTTAGCATTGTTACATTTTTTGAAAGCCTTGGCCCCAGAAATCAATGTGGGTTAAATGTGATATTGATACCAGCCCCAACCCTCCAGAGTATTCATAGTTCGCGCTGGTAACTGCCCCTGAGCTACATGAAGCAACCCCTCCGTGCTATACTCATTCCTCGGTGTGATAGACGTAGCTGTATATTATGTACATTTGACACATTACTTTTTTTTACTCACTAGTTTCAGTAACGCTAGTTAGTCCTGTTTGTCATTAGACTAAAATAAAGTGGCATTATTTTCACTGTAGAATAAAACCATAATAAGGATATAACAATTGAACACAGCCTTGGAAGCTAACATCACTGCCAAACAACCTTTAGAGGGACAAGAGAAACATCTTCTCATATGATCCACATCTTATGGATATGTCAATATTTCTTAACACTTTCGAATTTACCGACCAAATTGATGAAAGTATAGTTATATACCTGATTTGGAGCCACGTTATTTATGTTGTGTCCCCTCTGCCATGTTTCGTATGTGGGGCATTGAAGTTTGAACGACCTCTCGATGCAGGCTCGCTTGTTACTGTATCAGGTTGAAGCAGTGACGTCCATATTGACAGTTTGGCTCACTGCTGAAGATTCGTATTCTACAAAAAGTAAAATGCGAAGCACAAAAAAAATATGCATTCACAAAAACAAAATCACACATACCGTTATGATATTTTTTTATTCTTAATATACGAATTTCCCATGTATTTTTGTGTTTGTCTGTATCTTTAATCTATGACTTAATAAAAATATTTTATTTGCAACAAATACCATTAAATAATGCCCGCTTTATTTCTAGACATGCACGTCCTATGCTTGACAGTAACTTTTATGTCTTCCGCCCATAGATGTTCTTCCCATGGATCTATAATACATAACTGGACTTAGGGTTAATACTAGCATTAGAGCCTGTCCCCATCTCTGGCCACAAGGGTGCGCTAGTGGTAAACTGCAGACTAAATTCCCGCGAGGCTACCCAGAAAAACGTCCCCGTATAGAACTCACAACAACAACGGAGGAGGAGGAAAAGAGAGAGATATCTCTCTCAACAACAACAACGGAGGAGGAGGAAAAGAGAGAGATCTCTCTCAACAACAACAACGGAGGAGGAGGAAAAGAGAGAGATCTCTCTCAACAACAACAACGGAGGAGGAGGAAAAGAGAGAGATGTGTTTGATAGAGCAGTGTCTCCCCAAACTCTCTGAGCCGTTACACACAATCACAAAGCACATCACCTGAAACTGATCCAGAATTAAGATTGGATTGAAAGATTTAAGAAAAGAAAGAGATGAATTGCCATGCCATTTCAGAATAAACAGGAAACTCCGCAGCCTTTATTAAAATATCAGTATGTAGAAAAGTTGCCAAAAGTGGTACTGCAGCCCCTCCCACTCTCCCTGACTCAGGTTGCCAGATATGCAGACGAATCCAGCTGGGACCATAACAGCTGAATAGACAAGAGTTTTGTCAACAACAAATCTATAACCAACACCTTTTTCACAAAGATAGAAATCCTGGTTTTATTCCTTGTTTTGTTGTTAAAGTGAAGTCTGGAACTCTAAATGAATTAAACATTTTAAGAATTGTTGTAAATTGACCTCCTGGCCTTAAATGTTGATGTCTCGATTTTATTTCCTGCTTTGGACGATGTCGATTTTAAATCGATTTTCATTAAAGTCACTCAAGACAGACTTTGCCCTTAAAATATTTTTTATCTTCCCGCTAAATGTTTAAGTTTCAAAACTATTTTTTATTTGTTTCCCCCAATACATAATATTAAAGTCTTGTACAGACTGTGCTGATATCGCAAGTATAATTGATGTGCTGCTGGAACTCTCACAATATCCCTCATTCGATTTCACAATTTTCACATTTTTCACGAATTTGATTTTTTAAAAGCTGATTTATTGCCCAGCCCTAATATAAAATAAGTAATTTTATGAATTCTAATATTACGGGTAAGTCCCGCCTTCCCTTCTCTTAGCTATAGTTCAGAATCCACGATGCCGTCCACTTTAACCAATCGAGTCAGGCCAAGGGCTGTCAATCATCAGCGCTCATGCTGAACCTATATCCATAATCATGTATATACTGAACCTATATCCATAATCATGTATATACTGAACCTATATCCATAATCATTTATATATGAACCTATATCCATAATTATTTATATATGAACCTATATCCATAATTATTTATATATGAACCTATATCCATAATTATTTATATACTGAACCTATATCCATAATCATTTATATATGAACCTATATCCATAATCATTTATATACTTAACCTATATCCATAATCATTTATATACTGAACCTATATCCATAATCATTTATATATGAACCTATATCCATAATCATTTATATATGAACCTATATCCATAATCATTTATATATGAACCTATATCCATAATCATTTATATATGAACATATATCCATAATCATTTATATATGAACCTATATCTATAATCATTTATATACTGAACATATATCCATAATCAGATCTTCTGCAGATGTGTCCTATAATATGATAATAGCTCTTCCGGGTTTGCCGCGACCTCTGTGCATGTGTATATGTATAATGTGTTCTCTGATTAACATTTAAAAGTGTTACGGAAACGTAGGTGTAGACCAATCAGAAAGGAAGGGGGAGGAGCTTGCGTCGTTTTTTTTTCAAATCAAGTACCTCTCTCTCTTTTTCTGACAAACTCCAGACAATCACTTTAATGATTTGAGAATCATAACGAGACCTTTTTTAGTTCTGTGGCCACATGGTACTTTACCAGTGAGACCCGGATCACGGTGAGTTCTGGCGCCCGGATCACGGACAAAGAAAAACTCCAATGGTACTGTATATAGAAAAATGACTTTTTATTCTATTTTAATAGGTTTCAATGGCAGAAGCGGAGGTTTCTTCCAGTGAAATGATGAAAGTCCAGGCCCAGAGTGTGTCTCCGGCCTCAGCAGGATCCAAAAAAGGCAAAGACAAAGACAAGGGGAAAGTCAAGAAACCAAAAGAGGTAAGAGACACTGATCACACCTGGTTTTAAACTTGTGGCTAAAGAAGTACATAAAGGTTATTATAATGTATGAACGTTCAAAATGGTGGAGCTGTAGCACCATCGTGTGGATTCTGTGGACATTACTTATTTTAATAATAATAATATTATAGGTTTCTCTCTATTTCTGTGTAATTCATAGAGCTTGTATTAACTAATACACGTGAATATTATACATAGCACACACACGTATACAGTGTCTCACTGTTGAATAACAAGCACACATTATGTATAACTTGTATCCTTTATTTGTCTTGTATAATCTTCCATATTTGCCTGTGTGGGGTCCCCAGATCTCCCCCGATGAGGACAAGCAGAAGTCTGTGGTCTCAGAGTTGCGTGCTCCTCTGACCCTCAGGGACTGGCTGTGTTTCCAGTGTCCAGTCCAGGCCAGACTGGTCTTCAGCAACAGCAGCAGCTCCAGATGCCTCAGCACTCGCTCCGTCCCCAAACAGGCACGACGCCTCATAACCCCCTCCCTCAGACACATTTTCAGAATGATGACAATATTTCTCATGGCTTTGAAATCTGCCAAAATGCAAACTTGTCACTTTCCCAAACTTGTTACTTATACTGCAGTAGTTTTCAACCGTTTTTGTCTTGTATAACCCTGAAATGTTGTCCAGGTGTAGTCCAAGGATGAAGGTATCAGAGAGAGACAGAGAGAGAGAGAAAGACAGACAGAGACAGATACAGAGTTTCAGACAGAGAGAAAGACAGACAGACAGAGAGAGACAGTTTCAGACAGAGAGAGAGAAAGACAGAGAGTGTAAGACAGAGAGAGAGAGAGAGAGACAGTGTAAGACAGAGAGGGAGAGACAGACAGAGAGACAGGGACAGAGAGAGAGAGAGAGACAGACAGAGAGAAAGACCGCTAAATCAATAGTTTTTAAGACAGATTATAACATTGGGCCTCATTCACGAATAACTTCGTAAGAAACTACTCAACTTTCTTCTCAAGTTGTCCTTAAGTAGATTTCTAAGAAGTCCCCACGTGGGATTCATCAACGCACTCGTAAGCCGCTGAATTGTTCGCAGCTGTTCTCTCAGATTGATGAATCCCATTTCCTCGTAAGTACAGCGCGCGTGCCAGGTGCTTCATTAGCATAGGTACTTAGCATATGTAACCGCCCATTAATGCCCATATAAGGGGATGCAGGGCCGTGTGCAGACGGCAGAGGAAACAGCAACAGGCCTAAAGCAGGCCTTTACACGGAGCAAAAGAGTCACCCTTTTTTCTTCTTTTACCAGACTGAGAATAAAGTTATAAAATGTTGACTTAAAAGTCGAAATATTATGATAATAAAGTCGAACTAGCAAAATTATGAGATTAATCTAAGAATATGATGAGATTAATCTCAAAATGTTATGAGCTTAATTTAAAAATATATTATGTATTATTTTAAAGATGAATCTCAAAATGATCCAGCGCGGACCAGCGCTGAGACCAATGCAGACCCGAGGAGAGACTGGAGTGTCCAGCACACAGAAACCAGCGCGGACCTATAGGAGAGACCGCATAGACTGGAGTGACCTGACTGGAGAGACCGGTGCGCAGAGACCAGCGCGGACCGAAGATAGACCGCATAGACCAGACTTGAGAGACCAGCGCGGACCCGTATGGATCCAGGAGCATGCAGCACGGACCCGTATGGAGAGACCAGTGCAGACCCGTATATGGGAGAGACCAGTGCAGACCCGTATAGATCCAAAGGAGAGACCAGCGCAGAGACTCAGCGCGGACCCAGTAACCTCCTGCAGCAGCAGTATATATGCCGTTGTTCTGTGGCCCGTGGATAAAGAAATGCCCCCTATAAATAGGAAGGGGTCACTAATACACGGCAAGATTTCCAATGTATTTCCAATGTGTATTTGATAAAGCGTTGGCACATTTCATTTCAAAATGAATTAAAAAGAAGGCCAGATCTGCAGTGAAAAAAGGCGGTATATAAATAAAGATTACTAATAAAGATTACTACAAATAAATAAATACATACATCGATATGACGGACATATCACTGGAATGTTGTATTTTTATTCAACTTCACCAAAGAGGACAACCCCGGCGTGTGAACATGTCGGCACTGAATGCGTACGAGTGCTCCTGAGGACTCGTAGGATTTGTACTTGCCCAAGAGAAATTCTGGTTACGAGAAATATTCGTGAATGCCACTTTCTTCGTAAAAACCGCGTAAGTAGGATTTACGTACAAATCTGTTCCTAAGAACCGTTTGTGAATGAGGCCCATTGTTCCCTCATCAGATACAGACCTGGAGCTGTTTTTTGATTCCTCCATGCTAATATCAGGAACTTCAGGCACAATCATGTAACCCCGCCCCCTTCTGTAAAAGCCTCTGTCACAGATACTCTCACAGTATCATGTCATGGTACCATTATGACATCACACTTCAAAAAAATAAAATAATGATTAACAATTAAACTCCTCCCTCTTGTGGCAGCAAAGGGACTTACAGTCAGCAAGCAGAAATAATCGGTTCTATTCAGGAAGTCAAGTAAAAGTGCTATATTGAGCCACTGATGTTTTGATGTGGGAAATGCTCGCAGGACAGATATATTGTGTTGCTATCATAATGGTAATTAAAACAGTGCATTTAGATCTGTTGTTCCTTCTCCTCTTCTCTGCAGCCTCAGAGCCTGTTTTATCTGGACCTTCTGGTGAAACAGCTCCAGTCGGTGTCTCTGCCTCACCTGAGTCTGCCCGTGTTACACTTGGCCGAGGTCATCGCTCATGATCTTCTGAAGCGGAAAGCCCTCGCGGAACTTTATAGACTCAGGTAAATATCTGTGCAAGAAGATAGAATGGCTCACACAGAGGGAAGTAGAAATGCTTTGTTAAGTCCTCTGAACGTCTCTGACATGTCTCCAAACTACATCTGTGACGTGTTAGTGCCATATGAATCAACTCTGAGGAGCACAGGGACTGGCCTCCTGCTGGGACTCTGAGGAGCACAGGGACTGGCCTCCTGCTGGGACTCTGAGGAGCACAGGGACTGGCCTCCTGCTGGGACTCTGAGGAGCACAGGGACTGGCCTCCTGCTGGGACTCTGAGGAGCACAGGGACTGGCCTCCTGCTGGGACTCTGAGGAGCACAGGGACTGGCCTCCTGCTGGGACTCTGAGGAGCACAGGGACTGGTCCCGTGCTGGAACTCTGAGGAGCACAGGGACTGGCCTTGTGCTGGTCCCAGAGTCAGGACTTAACATAGGGAGGCAGTATTGCAAATTCATGCTGCTAAAATCTTTATCAGTCTTCCCAAAAAATGTGAGACAGGCTTCTTCTCTGACAATGTTCAAATCCAAAATGAAATGAAGGATTGTGTATCTTACTAATGCCTTGTGTGATTGTTTCGTTGTCTTGGGTCCAAAATGTGCTATACAAAAAACGTGCCTTGCCTTGAACTGCTTCATTTACTAGTTGTTATATTTGGATTGGCAACAACAACAAACATCTCCAAATGTGTAGGTGTTCTGTCCGTATGTGATATATTATTTCTGTATATTTTTATTAGGGCTGTCAAAATTATCGCGTTAGCTCACGTTAATTACATTTTTCATTAACGCTTTAAATTTTTTTAACAAAAGTTAACGCATGTCTGAATGACCCGCCCATTTATCCATAATATCACTCAGTATCCTGCGTGTGAGATAGCAGCAGAGCAGGTAGGCCTTCTGGGAATTAAAGTTTTAAAAGAATACACGCGTGACCGCGAGGCTGTTGTTTGCTATGAACTGAAGTCCGCCTCCTCCTCGAATATCGCCGCGGTAACATGGTCATATAAGAACAAACACGCCACTGAACTATTCTCTGCATGTTGTGCTCGTGTCTTTGCAACTTGTGCGTAACCTGTGCACGCAAATACACCGCGAAAGTGTCCTGTCGCCTCCTGAAAGTAAACTAAACCAAACTCGCTAAATTAAAGCTCGGGTACGTACGTTTTTCATTAACAGCGAATTTTGGTTGTGCCTAAAAGCAAAATGTTGTGAGCAAATCTAACAGATTGAAGAACATTTGGTCTGAATGACAATGAGCCCTTACATTTGATAATCTCATTTAACTTCATTTGGAGTGGATTTGAAATAGAATGTTAAAAATGTGATTCATTGTGAGTTAACTTCCTATTACTATGCAATTATTCAACAACAACAAAATAATCGTTTGACAGCCCTAATTTTTATACATTATTTGTTTTTTGTGTTATCCATTTACTATGTAGTATGTGTGTATGTATGTGTCCCATCTGCAGCTTGTGTATTTTGTTTTACTATCGGCTGGTAAGTGGGACTTATACTGTATCTTGTATGTTTTGTTTGTACACATTGTGGGTCTATCTTTTTTTACTGTGTTGTCTGAAAAAAAAGAAAACATCTTTAAATGTGTAGGATGTGCTTTGGGCTTTTATCTACAAGTATTGATTTCTGATTTTAGAATCGTACAGACCTGCGGTGAGATGGGAGCAGAGACACATTCTCCGTATCACGAGGAACTCCACAGTCTGACCAGAATCAACGAGCAAGAACTCATGGGGTAAGTTTACTGTTCATATTGACTTTGTTTGATGGTATCGATGATTATCTGTGTATGTGTTAAAGGTGCAAACGAGAAATACTCATTTCCCAAGAGAGAAAAAGACTTCATCAAACTTACAAACAGGTATTTTATGCTTAAATAACACTTTTTTCTGAGTTGTTTCCAAAATGAATGGACAAATCATACTCAATTCGTAACTACCTTTTCCAGCAGCTCTCTATTTGTCCCTACTCTACTCTACTCTGCCCTGATTGGCAGCATTTCTGTCTGCCCTGTTTAACCTGGCTCTAACATGGCTATATTACTCACTTAACTGGCACAGGTGCTTCTTTAGTGCTTGCATGGCCCTGGATCTAATGAGGCCGAGCTGGTACGGGTTACAACAGAATTTCCTCCAATACTGGTTTGTTGTGGGTGGGTTGCTAAGACACGGTACCAGATACTAAAGGGTTATAGAAATGCAACTGGGTAGAGAAGAGCCGAGCCGAGTTAAGTGGAGTCTAGTGAAGATCGACGATGATCCGAAATGAAACTTAAAGAAACAGTATGTAGTTATTCCTGTTGGTTTTAGTTTGTACATGTTCAATCTAAATGTTTAATGCACATGCACGTAAACACACACACACACACGGACACATACGCACACACATACGCATACACATGCACACACACACACACATACACACACGCGTACGCATACACATACACACACACATGCATACACTTACACACACATACGCACACACATACGCATACACATACACACACACACACACATACACACACGCATACGCACACACAAACACACACACACACACATGCGCACACACATACGCATACACACACACATACACCTACACATACACACACACACACACATACGCACACACATACGCATACACATTCACATACACATACGCATACGGACACATAAGCATTCACACACACATACACACACATACACATACACATTCACATACACACACACACACATACACACATGCATACACACACACATACACACACACACACACACATACGCACACACATACGCATACACACACACATACACACACACATATACACACACACACACACATACGCACACACATACGCATACACATTCACATACACATACGCATACGGACACATAAGCATTCACACACACATACCCACACACATACACAATCACATACACACACACACACATACACACACGCATACGCACACACATACACACACACACACACATACGCACACACATACACATACACACACACACATACACGTTTTTGTTACCTGGTGGGTCCCTTTGACAGGGCCGTTCAGAATGGGACCCATAGACATAATCTTTTTTTACCAAGACTTTAAGTAATACAAAACAGTCAATAGAAACCAAACAACTATTTTAAAGGAATTTTATTTTAGATTTTGTTTTCGAATTGCAGTGATTCTATTTTTGACATAGAATTTAATGCCACTCCATGTCCGATGTCTAAGGTCATCTGGTGAGGCATTAATGCAGGCCAGGCAGTGAGACTTCCCAGGGACCTTTCCAGTCTGTATGAAAGGTGTCATGGTCTTCTCCACAGCCTTCACCTCAGATGCAGACCATGGCTTTCTTACACGTTCTAGGGAGAGAAATAAAAATATATTAGCAATATACACTCCCAGGGTGAGGACCAAGCAGCCTGGCTGTAATCCCCCACCTGGTACACTTACCAGAAGGGGCACTGCCACTACCATGGGGTGCATCTGGATGAATGGTTGAAGGTTCTCCGCTTGAAGTTTCTTTTAGCCCGTCCGTTTGTGAGAGGATCTCTACTGCTCTCCCTGTCGCACAGAAAATAAAAATACAAGTGGCCTTTAGGGGAAAAAAATCATACATATTTTAATAATATCAAGAATTACCTTCAGGCTCAATTTGTATCTGGTCGAGGCTCTTTCCTTCGAATTCCGTCACTCTTCCCTGCTCCATGGCCATCAACACTTTGCTGATTTTGGCCAGCTCCAGTGTCCCCTCTGGTAGTCTGTAATATTGCCTGTGGATGCGAATGTCATGGCCGAGGAAGTTGGCAAGTATGTCCATCTCATTCTCTTTCATATTGAGAACTGTAGACATAGTAGCTATGTGCTTTCTAAGTTTGGTTGAGGATAGCATCTCTGGATGCACCGCACCACATTCTTTGGCTACCTGGCGTAGGGAGTCTGATCCCCTGATGTGGGTGTCTGCGCCCGGGCGGGAAAAGAAGTATGGGTTATGGTCAGAGATGGAACAGGCCCTTCTGTTCTCCACCAGCACCTCCATCGAAGCAATCATTTCAGGAGTCAAAAGAACCGGCACTTTCCGACTTCTTTTCCCTTTAATTTCAATGCGTTGAAAATGCTGACACAGCTTTTTCTCAAGTTGGGACAGTCCCAGAGCAATGTCAGAATGGATCCCAGTCTTACTTCTTAAGGTAAAGGCTGTCAGTGGCATCTTTGAAACCTCACCTTCCCTTCTTCGATTGAAAATGATGACCTCACAAAGAGTCAAAACTGCCAGTTTAGACCAATGCTTAGACGTTGGCTCACTTATTAGGGTTTGCACATATTCAGGTCGACATACCTCAATATGTGCATGCATGGCTCTAACGTCCTCAGTCAGAGGGAGCAGGTCCGGAGTGTTCCACTTGGCTTGCCGGAGGGTCTGTAGGGCAGCAGAAGAAACACAGACGTCCCACCTCTTCTCAAAAAGCAGCCGGCTTCGTTGGAGGTTTTTAATAAATAGTTCATCAACACAATGCTCCATTTTTGAGTCACATTCAAGAATATCTGCTAGCTTTCTGAGGCTATGGCCGAGTTTGAGGGCCAAGGATGGAGTCTTGTATTGATTTGTTTCCTCATCATATCCAGCCACAGACCTGACTGCATCAATCACATGGTTAAAGTTGGAAGGAATAAAGAAATCCTTAATTGTTTTCAGTTTCCCTGCGGTTTTTGCTTCGTTAATTAACCTACCGACTTCTCTCATTTTCTGCCTAATGTAATCATGCTTTGTCTTATCATGCCCGTGTTTTAAGTACAGGTGCTCTCCGAGTCTCAGAATCCCCTTTTCTGCTTTGACAACACCCGTGACCTCATCCTGATGCATTGCCGAAATTAAAGACCACAGCTTTTTGCTGATCCGCCCTCCGGTACAGGCTGGGCTAGGGAGCAGAGGGACTGGACCCTACTTCTACCTGGTTTAGCCTGGGCATCTTTCTGTGAAAGCCGGCACCTGGCCACATGCCTCCACAGCGACTTTCGCTTAAGCAATGCCCCACAGTCTATACAGTGCAAAAACTCACTGGATTTAACTGGGGAATTTGGCTGTTTAGCTGGGACTAAAGTTCCAATGCCGGCCTTTAAAACCTCAAAATTGTGCTCACGGTTTCCACTATTCCTGATCAAATCAAACTGAAGTTTACGTGCTTTAGATTTCACAGGTAGAGCCAATGCTCTGGCTACGTCACTTTCATTTCCATGTTTTCTAGTCAAATGACGGGACATTTTGTGGCAGGACATTGAACAGTAGAGGCAGAAGTGTCTCTTGCTCAGGCAGTTTTGGGATGAATGTACATCATTAATCAAATTGGTATTATCCTTACAAGAACTAATCTATTTTAGCAAGTTTCTCTGGGGTCAGTTACTCTACCATGGTATTCGATTTTCTAATCCGTGCTGACAAATCGACAGCTTCTATCTAAATTCTGTGTTATACCAATCACTTTTAAATTTTTTGAATCTCTGTAAATCACTATTTTATGTACTTTCAGACAATTCCAAAAACAACACAGTCGTTCTCCAATATTAAAGACATACATCTAAATCAAGTTGCCTGAAAGGGATTTTAACTATTTTAAAACTTTTTCTACGATTATAAGGCTATGAAATTAATTATTTAATAAACAAAAGCACATTCATAGCTTCTGTCCGCTGCTTATAACTGTTTAAAGAGTTGTCCCAAACTTAATATGTGTAAATACATCAGCTGTTTGTAATAAACAATAACATTTAACCTGTTCTCCAATGGAGCAGCTCAGAGGCTGCGTCAAGAGCAATGTTATATTTGAGCTATTTTTAGATTTAAAATTTTGTTAAAGCCTGTCGTTCTATGTCTGCATTTTAATACTACTCTCTATAAACACATCTGCACTAATTCCTACAGATGTGGAAAACAGAAACATCTAAAATCTGACTCCATTTGATTCCTTTTTACTTTAGTTATTAGAACAATTTGACCTTATTGATACTTATTTCCACAATAGAACTATTTTGATTATTCACTAGTCTAACTATTATTACTATTGTTTATTCTGACACCTCTTCTTAGCGACCTTTCAACCTATAGCTCCTCGAATCCAATGACATTATAGCTCGAGACTATTTCATTCTATTCTATTATTGTATGATCTATTATCTTAAAGAGTAGATCTGTTTGATGTTATAAGCGCTATTATTTCTCCTTTTGAATTTGCACAACACTAAATTTAGAATGACCCCCTATGGGACAAATATAGAATTTTATTTCATTTTGACAACTCCGAAAATTACTTAATAATTTTCCCATTTTGCTTTTTTAGGCTGCCCTTTCTATTATTTATTTGTTCTTGTAAATATATGTTTTACACTTCTTTCTAATGATTTAGAAGGTTAAGGACCATGACCACCTATGACAATAACATTACCATACTCCCCTCTGTTGGTCGTGGTCCAAAGTGTAAAACATGTGTCTGTGTGTGTGTGTAGATTACTGTTCCAATCCTCTCCAGTTGTTCCTCCCGGATCGTCCTCAATTCATATTGTGGGCTTTGGTGCCAAAGTAGAGGCTCATTTCCTCATGATCCATACTACTGTCATCCCTGAAGCAGGTGCAGTTTATCTCTCATCTGAAAAACAAACATTAGAACACAAGAAACGCCCACTTCCCCCTCTTCGCATGGTGCAGCCTGTCAATCAATCCAATTGGGCAAAACATAACTGCATTGACAGACGGTGTGTGACATCAGGGCAGAGGCTGTAGCCAAATACAGACTTAACAATATGTATGTTTCTAATTTTATACTTCCCTAAATGTGAGTTACAAACCAAAGTTGTCCTTC